GAAGTGGTCTTTTTGTAACTGTACAGATTCCACAATAATAAACACAAATTTTCTGTGTGTGTCTGTTACCTGGCCAAGCAAGAAAATTTTAAAAGAACAAAAGCAAAGCCCGTTTGTAAATTCTGTAACCATAACCAATTCTCTCCTGTAATATTTCAGGGAAGATCAAAATATTTTCTAGACTTGGCCTTGCCACGCATTTGCAGTGTTGATTAGCCTGGGTGCAAGCACTGTTCTCTGCTTCAGGAATTCCGCAAAATGTAAGAGGGTTTTGGTTTGATGCTTCTAGAATAAGAAACTGAATTTGCCTCATCTGGTTCTACCAGACACTAAAATGACTTGGAAACTGCTCTTATGCAAGAGAATTGAATGACCCCCGTCCTCACGTGCCCTTCTCCTAGTCCCTCAGACTTTGACTTGTTAATCAATGTACTCCCACTGTGGTACAAGCTTCCTTGAGGAGCAGACCCTCGGCCCATGCCTTTCCCCAAGCACTTGCTGTTCTGTTCATTCCTGGGTTTGTTGATCTTCCTCTGTCCCCTGTTGCAAACTGCTTTAGGAAGGATCCAACCAAGCCCGATGTGGTTATTACCTATTCTCAAAGTAATGCCGCTTGGTGATTTCAATCCTTAATGTTAGTTTTTCTGGTGTAGGATCATAGTCTGAACGCCTTCTATTTAAATATTTAAAAGAGCTCCCCAAATAGAATCTAAAGCTGTTATCTCTTCATACTTCAATTTAAGTCTTCCAAAAAATTTCAGTAACAAAAAGGAGTCATCCAACAGACACAGCTCCCCATTAAGGGGCACTGCGGGACTCCTGAAAACCATCCTCTCACTTTAACACCCTTCCTCTTACTCCTCCCAAGCTCATTTTTACTTTATTCACCCTCTAAGAACAAGGTTTATCATTTGGGAAATACAACCCACTTACCAAGACAAGGTGAAACTTGTTAATCAAGCCCTAACCTACCTACCATTCCGTTACACAGAATCTGTGCTGCTAATATAGTGGTCACTAGCCACATGCGGCTATTTAAATTAAATTTAAATTGATCCACATACCATTTAATTTAAAACTTAGTTTCTTTCTCACTAGCTACATCCCAAGTGCTCAAGAGGCAAATTTAGCTAGTGTCTATGGAACTGGACGGAAAGTGGAGCATTTCATTGCTGTTAGAACAGTGGTTCTCAACCTTCCTAGTGCCTCCTAATGCCACAACCCTTTAATACAGTTCCTCATGTTATGGTGACCCCCAACCATAAAATTATTTTCGTGGCTACTTCATAAGTATAATTTTGCTACTGTTGGCTCGGCGCCTATAGCTCAACCGGCTAAGGCACCAGCCACATACACCTAAGGTGGTGGGTTCAAATCCCCAGCCCGGGCCCGCCAAACAACAATGATGGCTGCAACCAAAAAATAGCCGGGCGTTGTGGCGGGCGCCTGTGGTCCCAGCTACTTGGGAGGCGGAGGCAAGAGACTCGCTTGAGCCCAGGAGTTGGAGGTTGCTGTGAGCTGTAATGCCACGGCACTCTGCCCAGGGGGACAGCTTGAGGCTCTGTCTCAAAAAAAAAAAAAAAAATTGCTACTGTTATGAATCGTAATGTAAATAATCTGATATGCAGGATGTATTTTCATTGTTACAAAGGGGTCACGACCCACAGGTTGAGAACCGCTGCTATGGAAAATTCTACTGAACCACCCTGATGGAGCTATTTCAACTATAATAGGACCTGGACCCTTGGAAGAATTGAAACCATCAACAGAAAGAAAGAAAAAGAAAGAACTACATCTTAAAATAGAAGAAACCGTATTAGTTAATGAAAGAGTAACAAACAAATTCACTGTATATGAAAATAAGTAAATAAATTTTCCTGAGTAACTAAACGCTGTACAAATCTTTAAATTTCTGTTACTATTTAACAATACGACTATTCCTAAGCATTAGATATGCTGGCTGGATTATAAAATTTTTGGATTCTGGAATAATATTCTATGGATTTTCAGAATTATTTTTCCAAAGAACATTTATGAAGCTGCCAATCGCTTCCTTCTCACTGAGGTGTAATCAAGTTTGAAAAGCTTGGGCAGGTAGGAATAAGGGAATGTTTCCAACTATCTGAAAGCCCTGAATGGCCAGCCAATCCCACATTCGCCGATGGTGAGAAGCAGGTCACCTCTCCATTTGCCGGGTAGCTATCTCTTCATCTTTCTGTCTGCTTGGCTGTCATTTCCCTGTGAAATCTTCCCCCCCTCCCTTCCTACTACTGTTTTCTGTGCTCACTTCATAGCAATGTGCATCTCACAGCATTCTAATCACTTCCCTGCCTGTCCTCCTCGTGAGGCCACGAGCCCCTTGGGGAGCCTGAGTACAGAACCCAGCACTGTGCCTAACACACAGTTCCCCCTAAATACTCATGGCCTGGGTGTACTTTGCTTCCTTTACCTCAACAGTTCCTCAATTTCTTGAGAAAAAAATTAAGATTTTCTCTGGGCCAAAATCAATTATGTATTTTAACGATTAATCGAGTAAAAGATACAATGTTCAAACTGAATTCTTTCCTATTTTTCAAAATATACAAATACATCACTGAATGCTGTGATTTGGATCGGGTGAGCCAAAAGACAATAGAAACTACTGTCAATATCTGAAAAACAGATCAAAAAAGATCACTCTGGGAACCGTCTCCAGAAAAAGGGCAACTGCTTTTGTTTCTGAGAAATCCGACTCTTTGAGACAATGCTCACATTTCAAGAGAAGCTCAAATTTGTCATTTCTCACGGAAAGATCTTTCGGGTTTGTGTGTCTGTGTTCTCGAAACCAGAAATACTAACAACCAGGATTAAAATACTAACATTAGCAATCAAAATTTTAGATTTGACACCACACTAAATGCAAGTTGTAAAATTTCGAAAAGAAAATGAGTTCCTAACTCGGAAATGTATGATCTTTTTTACAGTGTTATAATGATATCGAGAAAGTCAACTGGAATCCTTCCCCCTCCAGGTGGGACGGGGAGCCTCGCCGTCCTTTTCTTTTGCATCTCCCCGCTTCCTATCAATGGAACACCACGTTTTATAACATTTATGTTGGAGGACAGAGTAAACACTATCTTTGAATTTGTTGTGGGATTCAATTTGCAGAACAATTTTACGATTCTCTTTTATGTAGGGTGATGCCCTAGAGATTATGTTTGAATGCTCACACGTGCATTATCACATTTAATACCAATTGTTTTAGACGTGATTAGCCCAATTATTCAGGTAACATCTTCTCGGTTTCCGTATTGCTCATGACATTTTCCTCCCTGCTTTTTTACTTTCTTGCCTGAAATTGGATCATTTTCTTTCCTCAGACTGCTTATTAGTCTGATACTGCTGACAGGCAGGAAAGGAAAAAATCTAGGGAAAAGTCAGTCTGATCATGTTTGAAACATTTATAGAGCTCTTTTAGGGGGAAAAAAAAGACTGAAGAATTAAAATTGCTAGTTAAATTAAGACTCCAGTAGACAGAGGCATTAATTTACCTCAGAGGTATTTCAGTGTTTCTGACGTTCAAATCTACAATTTCTAATTAATAACATAATTATTATTATTTTTCTTTTGAGACAGAGTCTCGCTATGTCACCCTCAGTAGAGCACTGTGGCATCACAGCTCACAGCAACCTCTAACTCTTGTGCTCAAGTGATTCTCTTGTCTCAGCCTCCCAAGTAGCTGGGACTACAGGTGCCCACCACAACGCCCGGCTATTTGTTGTTGTTGTAGTTGTCATTGTTGTTTAGCAGGCCTGGGCCGGGTTCGAACCTGCCAGCCCCGGTGTCTGTGGCTGGCGCCCTAGCTGCTGAGCTACCGGCACCGAGCCACATAATTATTTTATAATCACTATTCCCTTCACTTCAACCCGCACAGTAAGGATCCTTACTCCCATTTCTATAGGTGAGAAAACAGACACATACAGAGGTGAAGCTGACCTGCCTATGCTGAGGCCAGGGTCAGAAATGAAGTCACTGCTGCCAAGCTCTGCACCCTCCCTGAAGTCTGTGGTTCTCAAGCCTGAGTGGGCATCAGAGCCCTGGAAGGGGCCCGCCCTGTCGTCTCTGATTTGGCCGGTCTGGGGTGGAGCCTGAGATAGACACTTTTGAAAAAGCGAGGCAGTTGTCGCTGCCACACTGGTTCACAGACTACACGGTGGGAACCGCTGCTTTTAACCCTGGCGCCCTCCTTCAGCTCTTTGACACCCCACTCAGCTGTAAACCCCCCCAGAGCAGGCCAATTCTCTGGACGCTGGGTGCTCCTCTCCGGCCACTCCCACCTCCCCAGTGGTCACCATCACAGTGCGTGGCTCCTCACACGCGCCACATACGTGCTCCGTGAACAGGTTTCTTTTTCTCATGGTGTTAGAGCATAGAAAGATTGGTCCAGTGGAACACAGAAGTAACCTTTTGTGGGGCTTCTTTCAGCTCAAGTATTTGATACTTTTCCTCTTCTAAGCTACCTAATTCATTAAATGAAACAAAGAGACCCAGGCTAGCAAGAACAACTGTCCCCAGGTTCCTAACCTGCCAAGAAGCGCTTCCTGCCCTCGGGAAATCTGAGCAACCAAGGTAAAGACAGGCATCTAGCTGAGTGTCCTCCTCCCGAACGCACTGCAGTACTCACAGGGCCCAGTCCACGTTGCCCAGCTTTGTAACAGGGAACTAAATGACTGTTCTTACATTACTTGCCCCAAATAATTTCTTCCACCCCTCCTCCTGCCTTTTACTTGCAAATATGTCACCTTAATTGGACATCATCCGGGGTTTCCTTTTTCCCCCAATCTACTTGGACATAGAAATGTTCTGCTTTTTTACAAAAGCAGCCAAATGGTGACCCCCGCAGACAGTTAATTAACTGGAGAACCGAGATAATTCGAACCACAGCATTTTATGTTGAAAACATAATCGCTGAAAGAAATGGATTACTGACAGTTTGTTAATGTTCAAGGTCGTGGTCTTACCTATGCACACTAGATCCATAAAACCATACATTCCATAGCAGATTTGAAAAAGGATGTCCTTCCTCTGCCACACTGCATAGGGGCTGAAGGCTGACCAGAGGAGCCAAGTCACACTCGCTATCAAGAACAAGGATCCTAGGATTACAGCAATCATCTGAACTTTCTCAACCAGTGTTATAGAAATGCTTTGCCACTAAAAGAAAAACAGAGGCAGGTAAGAAAGAGGTGCTGTGTATAATTAAAAAAGAAAAAAGAAAACATTTTCAGCCCCATGCTTGTCTTCATAATGTTAGGCCTTTTGCCATCTGGCACCCAAATAAATTTTTCCATTCCACCCCGGCTATAAAAAATAGACAAGCAGATCAAGATTAACCAATTGCCTTAACTTCATCATTTTCAGTAATTCGCCATTCTGCAAGTTTAATCTAGTTTTACTCCAGATATAGTACCAAGTGTGAATGGCTAAGGAACATTTAGTGCCTAAAAATCACATTATTATCTTTCACGCATGCAGGAAATTAAATACACTCTAACCACACATGGCTGCAGACTTCTCTGTCTGGTAATCTATCTCACTTTTAACACATTTGGATAATGCAAAAAGAGGGAATTGTCTCTCATTTTTGTAAAAAAAAAAAAAATTTTTTTTTAAACCAAGTAAGTTATATAAGAACATCAGTAAAAAAATTCATTTAAGATAATACACTAGAATAATCATCAGGGAACTATAAAATTATCCATTATCTGACATTGCTACATTACATATACTCAGATATTACTATTTATTGTTTAATGGGTAACCCTAAAAAATTTTTGTCAAGATTTAGAATTTGTAAGTAAATGGAGTATCCTTGAAACTCACAGACTGTTTTAGCACAGACTCATCAACGGGGAAAGCAATTTGATATTCTAAGTATCAACATTGAAAAGGGTTTACAGCGCAAGTGATCGAAAATCCTTCAAGGGTGCTATCAGTTTGAGAAGATTAATTTGTCACAATTAATTAAATAAATAAATAATTAAAATTAAAGTGAAACAGAAACAAAACTAGAATTGTTATTATGGTTTGCCAGCAAACAAGAAAACTCAAAACAACCTGCATGATGTCGTCATTTTGGGTGAAAGAGCTCTGGCTGTTTTAACAGATGGTTTTCAGAAGAATTTCTAAATAGTTTTAAATAATCTTTTTAAAACATGAGCTTAAGCCATCTGTGCCCATTGCTTAATTTCCTTAAACTCTTTACTTACCTTAAACCTGAACGTATGTTACCCCACATGGCACATCTATCACACTTTCCCTCTCCCCCACCGTCTGTCTGTCTCTCATACACACAGACATACCATAAATAATTTACATATCACATTTTAAATATGCGTTTGACCTACCTCGCAAGTTAATGGACACTATTAAATTCTACATTGTTAATGATTAAATACCAAGATATGTTTGAAATACTTCACTTTCCAAAATCATTTACTTTGTTTTTCTTTTAAAAATCAGAACCAAACAATAAATAAAGTTTGGTAAAATACTGTAAGAAAAATATTCCCACTGATTTTAATGCTATGATTGACTGATTAGAAACAGTTCTAGCTTTTACAATTCTGACTGAAGAATAAACTAGCTGGTATTACTTTTGTCATTACAAAGGAGTAGACGCTGTATTTCAAGCATGTTTATGGAGGTTTTTTTTCCCTATCTTCTTGATGTCATTTTAAACACATACACTCTAAACTGCCAGGCATTTGAGTCTTAAGCCAGTTTACATCTGGTATTACCAAACAAATGTGAAATATCAACGTGTCAGTGTCCCTTGTCCTGGTTTTAATGCTGATACAACATGGTAAACAACAACAGAACTCCACCTACCTACAGTTAGCATCCCGTCTAGATGGATGTTACCCTGTCTGGATGCATTGTTTTTCCAGTTCTTTATTAATCATAACAGATGGAAACAAAACATACTTAAATAGATGAGGCAAAGGTGCCCACGCTATGTGTTTGTGCAAGTTGCAAACGGTGGGCCGCATGTTCAAATTACACACACCTGAATTACAGGACTCTTGAGTGACAAAGGTGAGTGAGGAGGATTTGCCAACAGTGGTCTTGATAACTATTTTCCTGTTACTGGTAACTCATGTTCCAGGTGTATGATGTAATTTTAGTGAAGATAAATTTCAATAGTTCAATAATGTATAATTAATTAGAGTAAGACCTCCATAGCGGACCACCTCCCAACACTAACCATGTCTTTAAGTTGACCAATTCTCATAGACTGGATGTATAGTCAATGGAAATTCCTTGTGTTGACCACCTCCATATGGTGACCAGCTTGATAAAGTCCCTTGGGCAGTCAAATTACAGAGGTTCTACTATATTTAGCTTTAATTAGACGTACTGATTAATCCAAGCCTGCTTGCATGACAGCTTGGTGTCAATGTGGTGACCATAGGCATTGTGTGGTCAGTCCCTAATGATGCTTGGATTCAGTGGTGACAGTCAGATACAGCATCTGTGGTGTCTCCTGGGACACAGGAAATCAGAACACTGGCACCAACCCTGAGATGTAAGCCACTTCCATTCTCTCCTTCCGACACATGGGTTTGGGTGTTTTGTGTCAGGAAAGGAGAGGCCTCCCGGGACCAAGAAACACTGACACTTCACACTTGTTTTGGTGTGAAAAAAATTTAAAATAGTTTAGAATTCAAATGCCTAGCAGTTTTAAACAGAATATATTTAAAGTTAAAAAAATATCCAATGTGCTCAATACTAATGTGAAACCAATATATAAACAATTACATGCCCATACAAAAAAATAAAACACAAATATAGCATGGGGGAGGGGAAAGGAAGGGGAGGGGAGGGGAAAGGAAGGGGAGGGGAGGGGTACGGGAGAGGGCGATTGGTGGATATCTGACTTAATGTGTACAATGTAAGGGTGTTCAACACACCCCCAGGGTGAAGGGCTCAACTACAACTTGAACTTTACCTTGGAAGTGAGAACAATGTAACCTAAAACGTTGTACCTTCACGTTAATTTAAAAAATTTTTTTGAAGTTACAAAAAAAATCCAAAAATAAATAAATAAATAGTTATGCCAGGAAGCTGGGGGGAAAATAACCACCTCTGACTGTAGTACCCTGGGAAGCCTAATTATTTTACTTGTACCATAGAAATTATTTTTAGTTGTAAATATGAGAATTTAGGATTGGTGGAGCTCATTTTTGAAGAAGAATATATTTCATAAACTCGACAATGAGCTCCCTGAATTTTTTCTAGGTAATTATTTATGTAAAAATAATGCAAATAAGCAAATGTATTTGAGAGTAAATAGATGCTCTTCATATACTAATAAACTTTAAACTTAACCTCATTTCACTGAACAGCTAACGAGGACAAACCATTTCTGAAACTGAAAATTAGCAAATTTGATTCTGAGCATAGGAATTTCCCCTTGGACCCTGATATCATCTTGGTAACCCCTTTGCCTACTGTTTATGGTGCTTTATTTCTACTAGCATGAGCAAAAGGGGAAGATTGTTCTTACTCTTCCCCTAGGAAAAATAATCCTGTCTTCTACCAGTAGGGAAGACTCGCCCTGCGTCCTTGCCCACTGAGGCGCACTTACCTAACTGGCTCTGCCTCAAGGAACTGTGGTAATGGACCATTAGTTTGGACAATAAAAGTACGAGATGAGCCTCTTAGGGCTTCCCTCGCTACCCCAAAGGAATCCAAAACCTGGATTTAAGTTTGTAAGGTATTCTTGAAACTCAAATAAAAAATTTCAAGGGCTGAACACACTTTTTACTTTCCAAAGAGGCATACAGGAGGGAGCACACATACATGTCTGTGTCTTTCATTTAACTTTCTTTCCACGTTTGGAAAGGCGAGTAATAAAAATAACCAGATTGGCTCTAAATAATTGTTTTTCTTTCTTTCCGTAATGTTTAAATACGTGTGACTCTTTTCTATTCCCGAAAATCTGATTGCTTCAACACAACCAATTATGGCACCTATTGTTTCTAGCGAAAGTGGGACCAACGGGCTCCTCTTTGGCAAGTTCACCCTCAGTGCCCAAGAGGCAATTTGATAATAACAGCTCCTGTTTGTATGTGACCAGTATATGCCAGACATTTTTCTAGGAGGTGATACCAATTAACTCATTTAGTTCCCACAACAACTCTCTGAGAGAATTATTATTATCCCCGTTTTGCAGATACGTAAACTGAGGCAGAGAGGGGTTAAACAACTTGCACATCTAGTCATAACCGGAGCTGAGATACAAGCCCAGGCAGCCTGGCTCCTAGGTGTCTGCTTTAACACTTACCTTCCACCTGAGGTCCTCAACACTGGGGCTGTGGGCCAGTGCCAGTCCGTGCTGGCTGGGAGCCAGGCTGCACAGCGGGAGGTGAGGGCAGGTAAGCAAACCCTTCTCAATCGCTCCGTGTCACCCCAGCTCCACCTCCTGCCAGATCAGCAGTGAATTAGATTCCCACAGGTGCCTGAACCCTGCTACAAACTGTGCGTGCAAGGGATCTAGACTGTGCACTCCTTATGAGAATCTGATGCCTGATGATCTGACCATGCAGCTGAACACATCCAGGAACTGCTGGAAACACACGTGATCCTGACTTTAGTTTCCATCGCCCGTCCAATTGCCAGATTCATATTCTCTCCACATCCATTCTATCATTGCCCACAGGACAAAGTCCAGGCTCAGGTCAAACCACCAGTTAGTCAAGAAGGACGAATTACAACTCAGATCTCTGTCTCCAAAGCCTCAATTCTTTATAAATTTCCCTTCTTTCTTCCTACTCTCTCTCTCTGTTCTCACCCCCTCACTCTGCATACTTAAACTAACATCCTACAATTGAAAGGAAAAACCAAATGGGCACAATTATACCTGTCTAAAAGGTGCTTATAGGGATGGGAAAAAGTCAAAATATGCAAAAAAGCAATTCAGCAGAGATCCCATATCTTACCTACAGCTTTCTAAATGGCAGCTTCTAAATCCTTCTTGGACCTGAGAGCTGCAGTTTGTTAATATTAACAAAAGAAGACAATCTCACGGAGTTACATCTCTTTAATCTTAATGAAGGTTTGGAAGAAATTAACCTTTAATTTCAGGTTTAGAAATTATTTGATAGTCTCTTTATATAAAACTGTTCAGAGATAGACCAATAATGTCCACC